GGGCTGCTCGGGCGCGCGTGCCGGGAGCCGCCCCCCGGGATGGCTCTTGTGCTCCTTGCAGTGCTCTATTTATTTCACTCCTATCGATGCTCGGCTAGACAAAAATCCTAGTGCTGTGAAGCTGGAAAACTACAAGACTAGACAAAATCTTGATTTCTCACCCATAACTTACAATGTTGATGTTAAAAGAGGGTAGGGGGGTGATGACTTTCCTTTCTCCTGTGTTTGTAAAAATGAGCTGCCTTTAATAAATTACATTGTCTATCAAGTGCTGGTTAATGCTGTAAGGTGTTTCACACTGTATTCAATTTTGGACGAGTACAGGTGATACGGAAAATGTGACAGTTTTTGGTAGCACAACAATCTTCATAATTTATTACAAAATTCTCAAATACAAACTGGAACACTGGGGCTTATTTTGTGTCCTGGCAGGTTTTTCTATAAAAATCGAAAGGGCTATTTTTCAGCAGATTATTATAAAGACTGAAAAAGTCCCCCTCATGTGAGCAGTTTTCAGGGCCGGTTGCAGTGGCCTCTTGCCTTTCTCTCGTCAAGCTGAGCAGTGTCAGGATCAGATGGAGCGGCGCGGGGCGCCCGGCGCAGGGAGAGCTGTGCAGGCGCCCGCGGGTGCTCGTCTGTCCCGCCGGGCCAGCAGGCTGCTCGGCAGAGCAAGCAGAGCCGTTCGAATGGGCCTTGAATAGAGCAGGGGCCTCGTGTGAAATCTGCACACCGCTGCATTTCTCTCGGTCCGGACACTAAGTAAAATCTTCAGCAAAGGAACAGTCCCTAAGAAGTCTCAGGTAAAAGGTCTTTCAAATGCCTGTGTGAGCTAGGGGGGAGCCTGGGGGTGGGTTCGGTTCGTTTTGTTTTTGTGTGTGTTTGTGGTTTTGTGTGGGTTTTTTTGTTCTTTTTGCTTGTTTGTTTTGTTTTATTCTAATTTGCCTTGCAGTGCAGTGCAGCTATGCCAGGGGGATCTGACTTGCCTTGCTTTGAGTCACGTGCAAGTTGGGCACAGTCCATCTGAGTGAGGCTTTGCACACACTTCACAACGTAAGGATTTATTTTGTGAACAAAAGGGGTTCGTTTCTTGGTCCGGTTAACTTTTCCTTTGGAAACATTTTCCAGTATTTTCAGATAAAGTATCTAAACGTTTGGCACAGCTTCAAAAGGCCTCTGCAAATAGAAGTAAAGAGCACAAACCCAGACTTTACCCGTATTCCTGACCTGGAGGGAAGTGAATGCACCATGCACGGGTTATTTAGGTTCAGCGAGCAAGGTGAGGCGGGACGAGTGGTCAGGAGTCTGTTGTTCATAATAACAAAAGAAAACAGTAAAGGTGGAAAAAGAGCTTTCCCAGGCCAGGTAAAGAAAACAATTGTATTTAGTATGGTTTAAAAAAGAGCATTTCTCCTCCGCTCCTCTGTAAATGTCCCTGTCGTACAGGTTTTCCTGCAAAGCCGGGATTTTCTGCTGTGTGCAGGGTGCTGGGGGCCCGCGCGGTCT